GCAGTTCGCATGCGGTTCCCGCACCCAGGGCAGCGTTTCGTGGCCCCATAGGGAGCTCCACCGAAGGCCCCAGTGGCACAGTTCGCATGCGGTTCCCCCGCCCAGGGCAGCGTTTCGTGGCCCCATGGGGAGCTCCACCGAAGGCCCCCGTGGCGCAGTTCGCATGCGGTTCCCGCACCCAGGGCAGCGTTTCGTGGCCCCATAGGGAGCTCCACCGAAGGCCCCAGTGGCTGCTCTCGCATGCGGTTCCCCCACCCAGGGCAGCGTTTCGTGGCCCCATAGGGAGCTCCACCGAAGGCCCCAGTGGCGCAGTTCGCATGCGGTTCCCCCACCCAGGGCAGCGTTTCGTGGCCCCATGGGGGGCTCCACCGACGGCCCCCGTGGCGCAGTTCGCACGCGGTTCCCGCACCCAGGGCAGCGCTTCGTGGCCCCATAGGGAGCTCCACCGAAGGCCCCAGTGGCGCAGTTCGCATGCGGTTCCCGTGCCCAGGGCAGCGCTTCGTGGCCCCATGGGGAGCTCCTCCGAAGGCCCCCGTGGCGCAGTTCGCATGCGGTTCCCCCACCCAGGGCAGCGTTTCGTGGCCCCATGGGAAGCTCCACCGAAGGCCCCCGTGGCGCAGTTCGCATGCGGTTCCCGCACCCAGTGGCGCAGTTCGCATGCGGTTCCCCCGCCCAGGGCAGCGTTTCGTGGCCCCATGGGGAGCTCCACCGAAGGCCCGCCCCAGCGGCTGCTCTCGCATGCGGTTCCCCCATCCAAGGCAGCGTTTCGTGGCCCCACAGGGAGCCCCACCGAAAGCGGCACCCACAACGCGTTACGAACAATTGCTTATGGGTGGGTCTTTCGCCAGGATAATTTTGAGCACTTTTGGAGGTATTTGTTGGGTATTTTTCAAGATTTTTCGCCCCTATGTTCCTAATACTTTTGAGTCTTTTTGGAGGTATTTGTTGGGTATTGTTCAAGATTTTTCGCCCCTATGTTCCTAATATGTTTGAGTCTTTTTGGAGGTATTTGTTGGGTATTTTTCAAGATTTTTCGCCCCTATGTTCCTAATACGTTTGAGTCTTTTTGGAGGTATTTGTTGGGTATTGTTCAAGATGTTTCGCCCCTATGTTCCTAATACTTTTGAGTCTTTTTGGAGGTATATGTTGGGTATTTTTCAAGATTTTTCGCCCCTATGTTCCTAGTACTTTTGAGTCTTTTTGGAGATATATGTTGGGTATTTTTCAAGATTTCTCGCCCAAGATCCCCCTGCAGGGGGACACGCCCGACTGGAAGTCAGGGTGCGGGGGCGCGAGGGGCGGCCGCGCGCCGCCCCTCGCGCGGGGGGGGGGGGGGCGCGCGGGGAGGAGCGGCCCGGGAGCCGCCTCGGACCCCTCCGGTGCTCCAGCCGAGCTGCCCTCGTCGTCCCCCGCAGGCCTCATCATTGATGCGTCTTGAATTTGCGCTTCTCCTCCTCCTCCCCCTTTTCCTCCTCCTCCTCCTCCTCTCCTCACCTCGTCATCCCCCGCATGCCTCAGCACCTCCTCGCCTCCCCTCGTCATCCCAACTCCTCACCACCGCCTTCTGCTCCCCCGTCTCTCCTGCCCTCGTCCTCCTCCTCGCCCTCTCCGTCGCCTTCCCTCTCCCCGCTCCCCCTGTCTTCTCCCCAGGCCCCCCCCGCTCTCCCCGAGGGGGGAGTGGCGGCAGGTGGAGAAGGACGGCGGATAAGACGAATGCAAAGTACAAGGATTAAATCGGGCCTGTCCCTCTACAGGGGGGAATATTCAAAAGTAGTCACAAAAATAGTCAGGGGACTATTTTTGGAGTATTGTTGGGCATCGTTTGAGTATTTTTGGAATATTTCGTGAGTATGTTGCTGCCTAGAAGGGGTCTTACTCTCTTAGCTTAAAGGTCCGGGCAGTGGACCCCGCCCCGGGCGGTTCCCCCAGTATCCGCCCCGCGGTTCCCCCAGTTGCGCCCCTTGGGTTCACCCAGCTTAGCTAAGCTTAGCTTAGCCTAGCGTAGCTTAGCTTAGCTTAGCTTAGCTTAGCTTAGCATATATTAGCTTAGCTTAACTTAGCTTAGCTTAGCTTACCTTAGCTTGGCTTCGCGTCGCTTACCTTAGCTTAGCTTAGCCTAGCTTAGCTTAGCTTAGCATAACTTAGCTTAGCTCACCTTAGCTTAGCTTAGCGCAGCGCAGCATAGCGCAGCGCAACATTAGCACAGCATAGCCAAGCATAGCATAGCCAAACATAGCAAATCATAGCATAGCATGGCATAGCCCAGCGTAGCATAGCACAGCACAGCATAGCATAGCATAGCGCAATCTAGCATAGCATAACATTGCTTAGCACAGCGCAGCGCAGCACAGCATAGCATAGCACAGCATATCATATCATGACATAACACAGCATAGCATAGCGCAGCACAGCATATCATAGCATAGCATACCATAGCGCAGCATAGCATCTCATAGCATAGCCTAGCAGAGCATAGCATAGCGAAGCATAGCATTTCATAGCACAGCATAGCATAGCATGACGCAGCATAGCATGACGCAGCATAGCATATCATAGTATAGCATAGCATAGCATAGCATAGCATAACACAGCGCAGCCGAGCGTACCCTAGCATATAATACCATAACATAGCGCAGCACAACGCAGCATAGCAAACCAAAAACAACAGCAACAGCAAAAGCAACAGCAAAGGCAAAGGCAAAAGCAAAGGCAAGAGCAAAAGCAAAGGCACAACCAATGCGACAGTGTAGATGTAGTATAGGTGTAGGTGTAGATGTGGATGTAGGTGTAGACGTAGATGTAGATGTAGATGTAGGTGTAGATGTAGGTGTAGATGTATATGCAGATGTGAGTCTCGCTGTTGATGTTGATGTAGATGTAGATGCAGGTGTAGATGTAAATGTAGCTGTCGGTGTAGATGCAGATGTTGCTTTCCTAAATGCGCCAACCCCTAGGCAGGGCCGCACGGGGATGATTTTGAGTACTGTTTGGAGTCTTCTTTATGTTTTTCGTCGAAGATCCCCCTGTAGGGGGACACGCCCGAGATTAACAACATAATGCCAGGATGAAGTCGGGCCTGTCCCTCTACAGGGGGAATATTGAAAAGCAGTCAAACAAATAGTCTGGGGGCCATTTTGTGAGTATTGTTGGGCCTCTCTTTGCGTACTGTTTGGAGTACTTTTTGTTGTTCGTCGAGAATCCCCCTACAGGGAGACACGCCCGACTTCATGCCAGGAGCGAGGGGAGAGCCCGAGGCGGGGACATTTCCGGGCAGCCACCGCCCGGGGGGATCCCTCTTCGGGGATCCCCGGGCCGGCGGCGGCCGTGGGCGGGCTGTTCGGGCCCCCCCTGCGGGGGCCCCACGTGGTTCACAGGTCCACCGCCCGCCGGGATCCCCAGGCGCCCCGAGTCTCGGAGGCCTAGAGGTTGACACCAACACCAGTATCGGCGGTGTGCCTCCACCGAGGGAAGAAGACCCCGATCTCGGTGATGGTGGTGATGTTCTGGCTTCAAGGTGACCGAAATACTACCACCAGCACCGAAGTCTAGGAGCAGCATCCCCCCTTGTGAAGGCAGCCCCCTGTGTTGGTGTTGGTGCCCATTTCCAGGCCTCCAAGAGTCGTGCTCTGGTGGCCCCCGGGGCCCCGCAAGGGGCCCCCCGAGGCGGACGGTGTGAGAAAAGCCGCCGCCGCCCCGAGCTTCGAGGCGTTGTGGGCGCCCCCGGCCTGCGGGGCGGCGCCCGGCTCCCTGCGGCGGGCCGTGTTGGGGCGGCGCGGCCACCACCCCCAAAGAGCGAGCGCCCTCGGCGAGGCGCCGCTGCTCGGAGGTCGGCTCCACCGGCGGTGGGCACGTCGGCATCCCCGCCTCGCAGGAAGGGCGGGCAAGAGTTGCATCCACATCCAGTGCGTCTTGGACTCTCTTGGGCTCTCTCTTCCCCAGGAGAAGTAGGCGCACTGGGTGCGGACAAGAGTCTGGCCCCGAGAGGCGTGGTTTTGTCCAGGTCCAGTGCGCCTCGGCGTTGCGGCACCTCTTCCCGAAAAGTCCACGACGCTCTGGATATGGACATGAGTACTTCAAGAGGGAACAAAACACACAGACATAATTAATCGTCGAGTCCCAGACAAATCTGGGAAGATATGGGAAGTGGGGGGGAAGACAAAAACCCAGAAACTATATGAAAATATGGGGAATATTTTTATTTGTGTGTATTTATTTGTGTGTCCTGGGGCCCCTTCAGTACTGCCCGCAAGAAGGACGTCCACGTGCATGAGTCCACGTCGGTTTCGAGAGTGCGCGCGGCGCGAGCGTGCGTGTCACGAGGCTGGCCTCGGGGCGCGCGCGTCCGGTTGCGCGGTCCCTCTGTGCTCCTTCTCTTGGCCAGGCCGCCGAGCGCACCTCCCGCTCGTGGCGTCAAGTCCCTCTGCTCCTCTTCTCAGGAGGGAAAACAACACACAGACACAATTAATCCTCGATTCCCGAGAAAATCTGGGAAAATATGGGAAGTGGGGGGGAAGACAGAAACCCAGAAAATATGGGAAAATATAGGGGCATATTTTTATTTGTGTGTATTTATTTGTGTGTTCCAGGGCCCCTTCATCTTCCTCCTCCCGCGTCTCCTCCTCCCCCTGCCTCTCACCCTCCTCCCCGCCCCCGACTGGAGTACGTAGGAGGATGGCCTCGGAGGAGCCGGAAACGGGCAGGTGCAGCTCCTCGCAGCGAGCACCAATTGAGCAGGCTCGAGGAGAGGAGGCGGGGACGAATATGCTTCGACGAGAAGTCTGGAGCTGTGACGATCCTGCCGCGCCGCTGCCCACCGCTGTGCGCCCCATGCCCGTATTCGGCATTCCCTGTTCGCGTCAACACGCCTTCTTGCGAGCACGCGGCCTGGTGTCCTGCGACCAGGCGCCGTGGGCAAGCGGAAGTGCGTTCAGGGAGAGGCCGACGTGGCTCGGAGGCTGCGACAGGGGCACACGGCCCCGGGGGGGCATCGCACCTGCTCGATGTCGAGCATCGCCGAGCGGCCGGGAGAGTCGGAGCACGGGAACGCTGGGGATGTTCGCTCGCGGGCTGTGCGCTTCTGTGGCAGCCTCTGCGCGGTGTAGTCCTGCCGCGGGGGCGCACGCCCTGCCCCGCCGCAGTGTTCGATCGCTTCGCCGATGGCGGTTCTTAGGACGTGTAGCCGTTAGGATAGCCCGTGTCTTGGCGGTCGCCTCGCGCGTGTTTGGGCACACGTTGTAGTATTTTCATGCCACGACAATATAGTCCGCTGCGGCGTGATCAAAAAGCACGGCCCGTTGGGGGGGGGGGAGGGGGGATGGGGACGTGGACGAGGATGGGGAGCAGGAGGGGGAGAAGGAGGAAGGTGATTGGGTCGGCGGAGTGTTGAGGAGACAGAGGAGACAGAGGAGGAGGACGGAGGAGGAGGAGGAGAGGAGGAGGAGGAGGAAGGAGGAGTAGGAGGAGGACGGAGGAACCGAGGACCGAGGCCGGAGGACGGAGTACGATTACGGAGGACGGAGGACGGAGGACTGGTAACGGAGGACGGAGGAGAGGAGGAGGAGGAGGATGGGAGAGGAAGGAAGGAGAGGACGGAGAGGAGGAGAGGAGGAGGAGGGACGAGGAAGGAGGAGGAGTAGGACGAGGGGAGGAGGAGGGAGGAGGAGATGGAGGGTGAGGGGGAGGAGGGCGAGGAGGAGGAGGAGGAGGAGGAGAGGGGGATTAAGAGGAGGAGGAGGGATGATGATGATGATGATGATGATGATGATGATGATGATGATGATGATTGATGATGATTGATGATGATGATGATGATGATGATGATGATGATGATGATGATGATGATGACGACCATGATGATGATGATGATGATGATGATGATGATGATGATGATGGTGGTGGTGATGATGATGATGATGATTATGATGATGATGTTGTTGGTGGTGGTGGTGGTGATGGTGATGGTGATGGCGATGATGATGATGATGATGATGATGATGACGACCATGATGATGATGATGATGATGATGATGATGATGCTGATGATGATGATGATGATGATGATGATGATGATGCTGATGATGATGATGATGATGATGGCGGTGGTGGTGGTGGTGGTGGTGATGATGATGCTGATTATGATG